ACAAGGACGCCCTCAGTGTTGACCCTTGTGGTATTGATTGGTCTCGAGTCTGGCCTTTTCCTCCACTTGAAGGTTGGCGGTGGGAAGGCTATGACGGTCAAACTTAGCGTTGCGTTTTCGTGCAGATTTGAAGCAAACACCAGATTGTCAGATGAAGATGAATATCGCCTTGGGGCACCTGAATAAACAATGGATGCCGACATGACATAAATCAAACAAGAAACATGGCAGATAACCTGATCTTAAAGTGCCATTCGTTTTGATTTCCACTTTATTTAAACCTGAAAAAAGATAATGATGATAATAAAACATTTAAATCATAATTTTAGCAAATATATTGTTCAATGTGAATCTTGAAACATGAGTGATTGGTCCCCCAAAGTTTCAAAGAAAGAAACTGAATGTTTGTTTGTTTGTTTGTTTGTTTGTTGTTAAACGTCGCACTCAGCAATATTCCAGCTATATGACGGAGGTCTGTAAGTTATTGAGTCTGGACCAGACAATCCAGTGATTGACATTGATCATAAACATCGATCAACGCAATTGGGACAAGATGACATGCATCAACCAAGTCAGTGAGTCTGACCACCCAATCGCGTTAGTCGCCTCTTACGACAAGCATTGTCGCCTTTCACGGCAAGGATGGGTTGTTGAAGACCTATTCTGCTATACATGAACAGCAATATTAAGAAACTTATTTTGAAAAAAATATTACTTACAAGTGACTTGTAATAACACAGTCTGTTGGGCAGCTTTTCCGATCAAGTTCCCGGCCGAGCAGGTGTATTCTCCCCCTTCCTGGCAGGACACATCCAGTAGCATCGCTTTCATTGTTTGTTTGTAACTCCGCACTGGGTTATAGTTGCTGAACTTCCTTCTTCCTATGCTGGAGGTCTTGTTCCTGATCTCTATGGTAGAAGCCGGATTACTGCTGATGTTACACTGCAGTGTCACGTTGTCGTGTTCCGTCACACTCACGGTTCTGTCCCCAGACGTGACACCAAAGTATTCTATACTAGGAGCAGCTTAAACACCACAATAATGTCATTAATGAACCATGTTGTTATTACTATACACTTTTCTCAACTCTCATTTATAATGGAATTATATTTTCTAACAGTTATAAAGAATCAGTTTTACTTCTGGCTTCACACTACACTGTCACATTGTCACGTTGTCGTGTTCCCTTACGTGCCTGGTTCTGCTCCCTAACGTGACACTAAAATGTTCTATGCGAGGAGCATCTTAAACACCACAATATGATTATTAATAATTTCACCAATGAACAAGTTATCATTGATATAAACATATCTTGTGTGACGTTTCTACGATTATTATTATTATTATTATTATTATTATATATTAAAACATGAGTAACATATACTAGTATGTTTCCATGAACATAAGAAATGTCGGCTGAAATAATTTTGTATATTTTAACCAATACAATAGAATAATTATGTCATATCTTAATATATCATACCTATATAGTTATTGTGCAGCCATATATGCCAAACTGGTCAGAATACTTAAATACCTTAATACCTCAGACACAGTGACATTAACTAAAAGGTGTACTCCCCTTTTTCATGAACCTAATTGAAGACTGGTTGGCTGGTTTGTTATTTTACGCCGCACTCAGCCATATTTCAGCTATATAACGGCGGTCTATAAATAATCGAATCTGGATCAGACAATCCAGTGATTGACATCATGAGCATCGATCTACGCAATTGGGATATGTTGACATGCATCAACGAAGTCAGCGAGCCTGACCACACGATCCCGTTACACGCCTCTTACGACAAGCAATGTCACCTTTTACGGCAAGCATCGATTGAAGAAGACCTACTCTACCCCGGATCTTCACGGGTAGACTAGTATGGTAGAGGGAATGATTAGATATGACTCATCCATGTCAGCATGAAGTACACTGCTACATGTACACACGCTATGATCTTTATGTTGAGCTTTCATACCTCTTGATGGCTCGGTTGGTCATGCTCGGTGACGTGGTTGATTGTCTGGTCCAGACTCGATTATTTACAGACCTCCGTCATATTGCTGAGTGTTAAACATCAAACAAAAAACAAACAAACAGCAAAGTTACTGGGGCTCTGTTGTAACAGGGGATGACTTAGTGTTATACAGAGGTACCTGTATTTGCCATACTTACATCGCACATCCAAAGTAACCGTGTTGCTCCTCATCCCTCCTCCCTGGCACTGCCAAACAGTAGAATCATCCCGAGAAACATCCCTGATGGTCAATGTGTACCTGTGTCGTTGTCCGTCTTCATCTGAACATTGGGTCCTGTTATTCCCCGTTATCTGTTGCCCTGTGTCTACTGCTACACCACAGACAGATCGAAATGAAAGGTTATCACGTTTCAAGAACGTAATTAACCCCGTGACTCTCGCATTGACAACCTCGCAGGTAAACGTGAACTCTCTCCCCAGGACGGAATACTCTCCAGAGCCCTTCATGTTTATGGATCCACCTAGAAAAGACAGGGATGATACACTGAAAACATGCAACGTTTTACGTTCGTCTGTCAAAACAGATGTACCATTTCATCAAATAGAGATTTTTTTAAGTATGATGTTGTTCGTCGAATATGCAAGTGGTATGGATGGAATACTATTAATTGGAGTGTATAGTTACTGTGTATGAGTACGAAGATGCCGCGAAGGTCTCCTCTTCTTATCCGCGATGAGTCAAGGTGTGTCAAGCAAGCATTTTAAATAAATTATTTCAGCTGGTTGTCAGGTAACTAAAGCTGTAATTCTTGTTTAACAGGGAGCCAAATACTGACACGAGGAAATGTCCTGCATAATGACGTTATCATACTGATGAATATTGCAGTAATGAATTCTTATCACTGAGCATCACGCTGACAGCCGCCATTACATTATAGAGGACATAGGGTGAGTGAGTGAGTGAGTATGGTTTTACGCCGCTGTTAGCAATATTCCAGTAATATCACGGCGGGGGACACCAGAACTGGGCTTCACACATTGTACCCATGTCGGGATCGAACCCAGGTCTCCGGCGTGACGAGGAATGCTTTAACCACTAGGCTACTGGATCACCCCATAGAGGACATGGAAAACGAATTACAAATTACGTTGTATCCGATGAACGTTGTTTCGAATTCCACATTTTGATTAAGATTAGGGTTTTTCAACACTTTCCCACTGCTCTTTAGTTCCACCGAAGTGAAACCTTTCTACAGCGTGTGTCTCTGTGGTCATTCCCCAACAATAGGCCTGCATGCCATGACATAGCCGATCTTCTGTACACCGCTGACCTCACCTAAATATATTGTCGAGGTCACCTCATTCATGTACTTTGTTTGTGAAATCAAAATTGCTCTCGCAAAGATTAATGTAAGCAGAGGCGTTTCTTTTATTATTTCCGACCACAACAAGTAGAGCGCATCCGCGATGCTGTGGGCGGAGACACACATGATGTCCTTCCGACATAAACAAGTAGAGCGCATCCGCGATGCTGTGGGCGGAGACACACATGATGTCCTTCCGACATAAACAAGTAGAGCGCATCCGCGATGCTGTGGGCGGAGACACACATGATGTCCTTCCGACATAAACAAGTAGAGCGCATCCGCGATGATGTGGGCGGAGACACACATGATGTCCTTCCGACATAAACAAGTAGAGCGCATCCGCGATGCTGTGGGCAGAGACACACATGATGTCCTTCCGACATAAACAAGTAGAGCGCATCCGCGATGCTGTGGGCGGAGACACACATGATGTCCTTCCGACATAAACAAGTAGAGTGCATCCGCGATGCTGTGGGCGGAGACACACATGATGTCCTTCCGACATAAACAAGTAGAGCGCATCCGCGATGCTGTGGGCGGAGACACACATGATATCCTTCCGACATAAACAAGTAGAGTGCATCCGCAATGCTGTGGGCGGTGACACACATGATGTCCTTCTTACCGGGTGTGACAAAAACTCGACGTTTTAAGCCCTACCGTATATCACAAACCTGCGGACGGACGTCAATATGACCAAAGTCATCGTCAGCCCACTTAACTCTATCATCAATTAAAAGGTTTGTTTTTATTGCTATTTGGTGAATCTTGATCTGAGTAATGTTGTGTGTGATGCGAGCAAACCCTAGTCATAAATACAAGCGAACCAGCTCTGCTCACAGCTTCACTAAATATAGATGTTAGTGATCAGGAAGTATACTCACTGCCAAAAGAAACGCGAATACCAAACATCTTGGTTAATATATGAAGACTTGCTCATATTCAACAGATATCGATTGGTTCGATGCATAACCGACCACACTGGTATGTTGTGTGAACCGATGCTCATGAACGCATCACATGTGACGTCATAGATCCATGACTCGAGAGGCACCATTTGTCTCGTGCAGGATTAGTGCGTAAAGTCTGGAAATCACGTGCAGCATATCGTGATAAGAATACTTACTCTGTGGTAAACCTTGCCTGATTGTTAGTTTTGTACATCAACTGGTACACATGGGAAACATCTCTTCTTGACGTACATACTTCTCCATATCTTTCTATGGTTCGCATGGATAAATTTGCTAATAATATTTCTCCAGGACAAGATGGCGTCTCAACTGAGTTCTTAAAAGCGTCAAAACCTTACACACTCTCTCTTTTTACATTAATATCTTATAAAATATTTCAAGATATGTGGGGATATCTTCACGTCAGGTTACTCCATGTAGGATATATGGAGGCTGACCCCAATAATAACAGAGACATATCATTGATAGATTCATGATCTCTATGTAATTTGCCAAAATAAGATATAAGTTTAAAACCGCTTAATATGCTTAATTTTCAAGAATACTACAAATGATGTGTATGTCTGTACTCTATGTGGGTGTATGTCTGGATGTGTGTTGTGGGTGTATGTCTGTATGTGTGTTGTGGGTATATGTCTGGATGTGTGTTGTGGGTGTATGTCTGTATGTGTGTTGTGGGTGTATGTCTGTATGTGTGTTGTAGGTGTATGTCTGGATGTGTGTTGTGGGTGTATGTCTGGATGTGTGTTGTGGGTGTATGTCTGTATGTGTGTTGTTGGTATATGTCTGGATGTGTGTTGTGGGTGTATGTCTGGATGTGTGTTGTGGGTGTATGTCTGTATGTGTGTTGTGGGTGTATGTCTGGATGTGTGTTGTGGGTGTATGTTTGTATGTGTATTGTGGGTGTATGTCTGTATGTGTGTTGTGGGTGTATGTCTGTATGTGTGTTGTGGGTGTATGTCTGTATGTATGTCTGTATGTGTGTTGTGGGTGTATGTCTGTATGTGTGTTGTGGGTGTATGTTTGTCTGTGTGTTGTGGGTGTATGTCTGTATGTGGATTGTGGGTGTATGTCTGTATGTGTGTTGTCGGTGTATGTCTGTATGTGTGTTGTGGGTGTATGTTTGTCTGTGTGTTGTGGGTGTATGTCTGTATGTGGATTGTGGGTGTATGTCTGTATGTGTGTTGTGGGTGTTTGTCTGTATGTGTGTTGTGGGTGTATGTCTCTATGTGTGTTGTGGGTGTATGTCTGGATGTGTGTTGTGGGTGTATGTCTGTATGTGGATTGTGGGTGTATGTCTGTATGTGTGTTGTGGGTGTATGTCTGTATGTGTGTTGTGGGTGTATGTCTGTATGTGGATTGTGGGTGTATGTCTGTATGTGTGTTGTGGGTGTATGTCTGTATGTGTGTTGTGGGTGTATGTCTCTATGTGTGTTGTTGGTGTATGTCTGTATGTATGTCTCTATGTGTGTTGTGGGTGTATGTCTGTATGTCTGTTGTGGGTGTATGTATGTATGTGTGTTGTATGTGTATGTCTGTATGTGTGTTGTGAGTGTATGTCTGGATGTGTGTTGTGGGTGTATGTCTGTATGTGTGTTGTGGGTGTATGTCTGTATGTGTATTGTGGGTGTATGTCTGTATGTATGTCTGTATGTGTCTTGTGGGTGTATGTCTGTATGTGTGTTGTGGGTGTATGTCTGTATGTGTGTTGTGGGTGTGTGTCTGGATGTATGTCTGGATGTGTGTTGTAGGTGTATGTCTGGATGTATGTTGTAGGTGTATGTCTGGATGTGTGTTGTGGGTGTATGTCTGGATGTGTGTTGTAGGTGTATGTCTGTATGTGTGTTGTGGATGTATGTCTGTATGTATGTCTGTATGTGTGTTGTAGGTGTATGTCTGGATGTGTGTTGTAGGTGTATGTCTGGATGTGTGTTGTGGATGTATGTCTGGATGTGTGTTGTGGGTGTATGTCTGTATGTGTGTTGTAGGTGTATGTCTGTATGTGTGTTGTAGGTGTATGTCTGGATGTGTGTTGTGGATGTATGTCTGGATGTGTGTTGTGGGTGTATGTCTGGATGTATGTCTGGATGTGTGTTGTGGATGTATGTCTGGATGTATGTCTGTATGTGTGTTGTGGGTGTATGTCTAGATGTGTGTTGTGGGTGTATGTCTGGATGTGTGTTGTGGGTGTATGTCTGTATGTATGTCTGTATGTGTGTTGTAGGTGTATGTCTGGATGTGTGTTGTAGGTGTATGTCTGGATGTGTGTTGTGGATGTATGTCTGGATGTGTGTTGTGGGTGTATGTCTGTATGTGTCTTGTAGGTGTATGTCTGTATGTGTGTTGTAGGTGTATGTCTGGATGTGTGTTGTGGATGTATGTCTGGATGTGTGTTGTGGATGTATGTCTGGATGTGTGTTGTGGGTGTATGTCTGGATGTATGTCTGGATGTGTGTTGTAGGTGTATGTCTGGATGTATGTCTGTATGTGTGTTGTGGGTGTATGTCTAGATGTGTGTTGTGGGTGTATGTCTGGATGTGTGTTGTGGGTGTATGTCTGGATGTATGTCTGGATGTGTGTTGTGGGTGTATGTCTGGATGTATGTCTGTATGTGTGTTGTGGGTGTATGTCTAGATGTGTGTTGTGGGTGTATGTCTGGATGTGTGTTGTGGGTGTATGTCTGTATGTATGTCTGTATGTGTGTTGTAGGTGTATGTCTGTATGTGAGTTGTAGGTGTATGTCTGGATGTGTGTTGTGGGTGTATGTCTGTATGTGTGTGGTGGGTGTATGTCTAGATGTGTGTTGTGGGTGTATGTCTGTATGTGTGTTGTGGGTGTATGTCTGTATGTGTGTTGTGTGTGTATGTCTGTACTCTATGTGGGTGTATGTCTGGATGTGTGTTGTGGGTGTATGTCTGGATGTGTGTTGTGGGTGTATGTCTGTATGTGTGTTGTTGGTGTATGTCTGTATGTGTGTTGTGGGTTTATGTCTGGATGTGTGTCGTGGGTGTATGTCTGTATGTGTGTTGTGGGTGTATGTCTGTATGTGTGTTGTGGGTGTATGTCTGGATGTGTGTTGTAGGTGTATGTCTGTATGTGTGTTGTAGGTGTATGTCTGGATGTGTGTTGTGGGTGTATGTCTGTATGTGTGTTGTGGGTGTATGTCTAGATGTGTGTTGTAGG